TATATTTTATATAAAATTACATTTGCTAATACGTAACTTTATTTTTACAAACTTTATCTGAAACTGATCAAAGGAAAGAAAGTTAAAAGTGATTTTTCATTTTTTGAAATAGCAAATATATGTAATATAGTAGGAAGATTTCTGGGACGTACACTCTAAATTTCCTACAGTGAAATCTCACTCCATGAAAGTGAAAATGCAACCACCCTTGAAAAAAAGTGAAAATATTTCACTTCTTGAAAAAAGAGTGACGATCTTCACTCTTTTTAGAGTGAATTTTCATTTCAAAAAAGTGAAATCCCATTCCAAAAAAAGTAAGATTTCACTCTAAAAAGAGTGAAGATTGTCACTTTTTTTTCAAAAAGTGAAATATTTTCACTTTTTTTCAAGGGTGGTTGCATTTTCACTCTCTTGAAGTGATATTTCACTGCAAGAAATTTAGAATGTAATTAGTTCAATTAGTTACAAAAAATTCTTGGACTTAGATTGGAAAATTTATAAAGGATCAAATCACACAAAGCGTAACATATAATCCTAAAGGAATCCGAATACATCCCACTTGTCATTCTCGATGTTTTTGAAGCCCTTTTAATTTTTTATATAAATTTAAAGTAATAAATATTCGAGTATTATTATTTCAAGGTTTTACATTACGCGATCTGTTTAATTTTTTATATAAAAATAGCGGCATTTTCTCTCAAGCGATGAAAGAATTAAAGGGAAAAATTGGCGTTCGTCTGTTTCGCGATTTCCGCTTGCGCAAGCGATCGGATCAGATCGGATCAGGAGACTCGCGTTCGAATATTGCGGACAGACGGCTGCGGTGGCATAAGCGACGGTGTAACGCAACAGATGCACGATATTTACATAATACGTCACTGTTCCTGCTGCCACACCCGCACGGACAGCCGCACGTGAATCCCTTTTTCTTCGCTCTTCCCTTGGCCATGTTCGCCGATGCGTTTCTCTTCACTCTCTCTTTCTTTTCCTCTCTTGTAAAATTCCTTCCGACGAATTTCCCTAGCCTGGAGGAAGCGTTCCGTATCCTCTCGAGCGTCGTTAGCCCACTGATGCACTATCGCGACGAGCCATTCGATAGACCGACCGTCCGGAACTTTGCATGCAATGCGTGCAGCACTCGATATGCAGGTGGCATGGAACGAATAGAAATGCAGCGACCCGCTTATTTTTCGATATATATTTCTAATTTTTTACTACAAGATTTTTACCGCGCACCGACGGATCGTAAGGTGATAACCGGCAACGTGTCGCATTTTCTTTCATCTTTGTTTTCCAGAAAATCGATCGACGCGTTCTCGACTCGCTGTTTCGTTTCTTATCGCACGACGGCTGATCAGCCGTACGGCTTATCAGCTCCGTAGGCCGTGGCCTCACTTTGAATATCGCGCACTGGCACACGGTCGATGGGACGACCGGCGGCTAAGCATCCACTCGATTAGATCCAATTCGTTTAATTACGTTAAGCGCGGGCGCGTTGAATACTTCCTTTATTTTCGCGGCGGTGCCGGTGCCGGGTGGCGTCGACGGGGGTCAGGAACAGCGACTGTTCAAGGAAGATTGATACAGGTTCAACTCGCTACGAACGTGACCTCATTCCGTGAATCACCAATTTTATAATAGTAGCTGCCTTTGAGCTTTTCCCGCCACTTTATTTACCGTGCCGGAGTAGCCATCGGCATCACGGCGCCTTTCTTTACCGTTGAGAAGAATCGACGAGAACACGCGAGGGGAACGATTTATTTCGCTAGCGATTTATGTGATCAAATCGTAGCGGCGCCAATTAGTAGATAAAGCCAATTTATAACATATCACATCGACTTAGGTCAAAGTTCACCGTGCAAATGAAATTTGAAAGCTCTCAGGGCGAGATAACACGGGATCGATAGAATTACTACTTATTGTCGTTACTACTTATTGGCAGGATGGTCCTTTTTTGTTTGCGATACAACTAATTAATATTAAATTGTACGAATTTAATCATGATAATCACAAGTGACGATGCAGCTAATTCGAGCATTTAGCGGGCGAAACTATCCATTTCTTCTATGGAACGAAGAGTCGTTCCTTTCAGCAGTTTCCCAAATTCGCCGATATTATTTTTAGACGATTACGATCGACTCCGTTCGAAATGTGCTCGATAGACGCGATATTGTTCTTGCGGTAAATACAAGCGTGGGCGTCGACGCGTGCGTGAGTGCGTTACAATTCACACGCTTTATTTATTCTCTGTTTCTTCTCTTAATCGGCGGCCGCCGCGCCGCGCCGCGCCGCGCGTGTAACGTTATATAAATATGAGATTATTTCAGTCCGGGATCCGTGCGTTTGGCAGCACGCCAAGCGACAGGGGTTGGACTGACTGCACTAATAACGCGGCTGTGATACGCACGCCGGCCGTTGCATAACAGGTAGCTGAAGTGGAGGGCGGTATCGTGTGGTAGGCACAACTACAATGATGCTGACGACGACGTCGACGAGGACGACGTCGAAGCGCGCCTCGCCGCGGTCGGCTGGTATAACGATCGCGCAGCTCGTTATTATGTAAATTACGTTAACGGTAGCCGCCCGCCCTGTTCTTCGTTGCTTTTATAATGTACGTAAAGTCGCATCTCGCAACCAGAGAACCGCAACTAGAGTCCCCCCCTGCAGAGTTAAATTCGTGTGCCTCTCTACTTCCGGCGTAATTACGATTTGGTGGGTTCGCTTATCTTGACACGTGCACGTGCGTACTCGCGCGGAAGCTAGAAAAATCCGGGAATAAGTCCGGAGATTTCACTAGATTTTTTTAGCATAAATTAATTGAACCTAAATGTCTCAGGTGAACAAAATATGCAAAAACAATAAAAACGTAGTTTGTATTAAATATGGTATCCGCATAGAAAATTTTCTGAAATCTAAAATTCGATTCGATTTACTCAAAAGATCATGTATTCTACTTGATTCTATATAATTTATACACATGCATAGAGAAACCTTTTAATTTTGCTAAGAAGCTCTTTTCAGCCTTGTATCTCGAAGTGTCTGTTGTAAATATTGACATTGCAAAATTTGCATTTTTTATTATTCAGATTTTCTAAGGATGTCCTCTAGAATTTTTTATTTATTTATTATGGCAGTGAACATTCCGATACTCGTTTAACTCGCATTCTTTGAGATATTTGTTCCAATAAATAAGAGCAAAAGCAGTTCCTACGTTGTTTGTTGAAGCTGTGTAACGAAAGAATGCCGTCCATTTATCATATACGGGATAATGATAACGATCACATTAGTGATTGCATATTGCTTTTTATACAATAGTTATAAGATTGCATTGATTGCACCGAGAACGTGACACAATTGAAATTACACGTGCCGAGGTTTATGCGATCGTGAAGTATTCCATGGAAAAATTATGTAACAATATCAGAATTATATCACAAATATTCTGAATATGTCTGAACTTAAGATTATCCGCCTTTAAACGTTCCCCGTTAAGAAAAAGAACCTTAAGAAAATACAATAAAATACAATACTACATTAGATATGTTTAAATCCTTAAGGTATTACAGCGATATCGTTACGATCGTCTGAATCACGTATGTATCAAATTTCTCAGATTTTACATTAAAACAGTACAATATAATTATGTTATCAACAACACTGTTCTCTTATAGAGAATTTTCAATAGTAAAATAGTAAAATGTAATTTTATTAAAGGATGTCTTCTTTTAACATTTATAATTAAAAATCACGATGTGTAACTTGATATTTAGAATATAATTCGCACAGTGTAATTTCGTATATTATCAGACTGTTACTATCAAAAATAAAAGATTCAGGAGAGAAAAAGAGAGGATAATAGGAAGATGAATGCAAAAATAATAAATGTGTGACAAAAATAGCGGGCGAGGAACAGTTGTGTCTGTGCGTGTCTCTGTATGCAGATCTGATGTATGAAAGTTCGATTAGCTCGAAATGTACTCGTGAAAGAGTGGAACGTGATCCGAGATGCGGATGTACGAACGCTACCGGCGAAATAATAACGATGACGACGATGATCGATACTACGATGGTCGTATGCCGCTACGTCACGATGCTCTAATCGTCAAAAATAACGAAGCAGCTGCTCCCACATAGAAAACGTTCTACGATCTAATTGGGGCCCGATCTGATTTCTCAAAAGAATTATGGACTCCGTTTGGAAAATTTATGAAGATTCAGATCAGAAGCGCAATATTTTGCAAACGCGATCTTAAATTAAATTTAAAAAAAAGACAGTGAAATTTGAAAAAAGATCCCGCTTGCTCTTTCTCTATGTTTTTTTTAAGTTTTTTTTTAAGATTATTAAACAAAAATGTAATGTTATTATTATCTTGGAAAAATTTAAGAAAAATATTGTTTTATCTTTATTACATTAATATAAATGATTTAAAACTATTACTCCTGCTTATTTAAAGTGGATCATAATTTTTATTTCAATTAACATTTTTTGTAACTAATACTATTTGAAGTACTAATAATAAATAATTAAATATAATTACAGTCAATATATTAACGTAACTTTCATTCTCAATTTTATTGAATTCGATACTTTATATAAAAATGATGATGTAAAAGTATATCGATTTTCCCCGTGAAAAAAGAGGTAATTTCTGTTACAATTCTAGATAAAAAAAAACCCATATTTAAGATAAAAATGAATCAATATAAATTCTCTAATTAATATTAAGTATCGGTGCATCTTTTTAGATTGAATTGGCGTGTAGGTATTCTGATCGGAATCTGTATCGGAGAAGATTTAGAAAAATTTCTATGCGGGATGTCGCATCGGCAAAAGAACGACAATTAACAATGACACATCTTCTGACGATTACGTCGTTCTGCGACAGTGCTAGCGTGTACATACAATGTATTATCTACGTAATATTTTCCGCGGTGACGTTCCGTGTTGGAACGCGTGAAGACAGAGAGAGTGTAACAGAAACAGAGTACAGACAACTTACGGGTATAGGTCATTTGGCCCTGGTAGTAAGAAGGAAGGTACACGTGTTGCGCGTGCGGAGGCTGCCCGTACACATTCATGGCTGCCGTGCCGATTTCATCACCACCTACATACATCGTACACGCCGTCGAGGTAAGGTCATGGTTTCATCAGAACGCTAATTTTGCACCATATACACTGTTTGTTTGTTCTTTTTTCTAAGTTTCGCTCTCTATCACTGGGTTGTTAAAAAAAAAAAACTAACACCGAAGCTACACGCAGGAGTCAAGAATGAGATGTACGCGGATTCTGGCTTGTTCAATAAGCAGACAGAGAATCGTTAAGTTACGAATCAACAGAACTACATCTTTTATTTTTTGTTAGGCACGTAAATACGTCTTATAATTTCAAGATGGGATGAGGATATTTAAATGCCCCTACTGTCGGAAATAATTAAAACAACTAAATTTTGTATTTTAAAGAAAATTTTTACACACATTTACAAGCTCTGTATCAATATGTACATTATTAAATAAATACACGATCCTTTAATTTAATATATGATTTAATATATGATAATATATATCTTTAATATCAAGTTGATCGTTAGTAGTCAACAATAATTAGACAATTCCGAATCCTGTTCTTCTTGTTGAAAATACTTGATTCGTATTTTATTCTTAAATATGTATACCTGATCAAAGTTTTAAGATCATTTACTCTTTAGTTTCAATAAAAATATAATATACAACAACCCAGTGAATATTGGCTAAGTGCATGCTTTTGCAAAATAACATAAACGCAACAATCAAGCAAATGATTCCATTTAACATTTTGATATCCATTTGATAACTTTAACGGATAACTAAGAAACTGAATCTTTGACAGATAGAGCTAATTTTCTCTTTTTGAAATTTGGAATTCTATTTATCTCGACTATCTTGTACAGTTTATATCGTTGTGGTTGTGTGGATCGGGAAAGGATATCAGTTTCTATTGGGTAGCCAACTTCAGTTTCATATGCTAATGGTGTTTTTGTGTCATGCACGCGGACATGCGACTGTTTTGTTCTCAGAACTCTATTGCTAATTCATTACTTCTATCTAATCTTCATATTACTTCGAATTGATTAAATATTTACCCGTCAATAGACATGTAAATACTTGTACTCCTACACTTTTTTATTTTTCGTAACTCTTTAATATTAAGTTTCCGTAATTCTCCTCCATGCAATGACTCATTAAAATTTTATCTTTTTGGCGTGCAAATACTGTATCTACCAAAAAGCTTTATCTTTGTAGTTTTAAAACCTATACATCTTATTTTACCTATAAATACGCGATAATATATTGCGATAACGTGCTTCTTGCGCAGTTATATAGATATATTTAGAAAGATATATAATTTCGCCTTAAGGACTAAAAAAGTTCGTTAGGTACTGTCGTTTCTATGTGTATTATCAGCTTAAGCAAAAGCATTATTGTGCTATTAATTTTACTTTCTCTCACATGTATCAGCTCTATTTTATGTTGATGCCAAAATTCGAATATGCAAGGCAAAATAATTATGTTAAGCGATAAGCTGTCAGAATATGTTTGTAAAATTTATTGCGATATCAGAAACAAGCTGTTTTTAGAACAATTGCAACATTATCAATATCTTATGCATACACGCTTGTTAAATTTTTTATAAGTTTGTTTCGTTCCAATATCGCAAATCTTCATCATTAAATTATGCAGCAAATAGAGATAGTATAAGCAGCAAAAAGATATTAGTGATTAAATACGAGTACTTACCGCCCTCGTCTTCGCTGTCACTCATAAATGTCTCCTGCATGGATTCGGGTGCTTGAACTCTGTATTTCTCTTCAATAGTAACGGTATGAGTTGTTGTGATGATAGTCTCTGTGACAACTTTCAACGTTTCAATGACACTTATATAACCGAGCTTTTGTGCGATATCTAAAGCAGTCTGTCCGTTCTGTGAAAAAATAATTTACATCGAGTACGATTATATTGTATTCTGATAACTTTCAACGAATTTCAATGTAAAAAACATAGAATAAAACTTACGTTGGTTACAGCATTCGGTTTAGCTTTACTCTCCAACAACAAGTTAATAACAAGTGTATGTCCTTGTTGCGCGGCTTGATGAAGAGGAGTATAACCAGCATTGGTGCTGCTGTCAACAGCAGCACCAGATCTTAAGAGAAATCGTACCATAGCTGCCTGACCAAAGTGAGACGCCACGTGCAATGGCGTATATCCAGCCTAGAGAAAATACAAGACATAAGACCTCTTTATGTATTATTGGATGTAATATCTGTTAAATGATTAGATTTAATTTTATACAATTTCACGAACTATTTTACTATTCAATCCAATAAGTTTTATTTGGAACGAGATGCTTTAAGTCCAACAGCAGTCACATTACTACACAGTGTTATGGAGATAGGTGTTATTTCGAAGTTATCAATGGACAATATAGAGCAATGAACAATCACTTGTGAAGATTACGTCATCTACGATAATTTAATTATGTATAAAGTGCTAACATACTGTAACTAAAAACACAATCGCGTTGATATTACCATGATCAGAACAAATACTTATTTTTGATTACGTGAGTTACTTTGATAAGTTTACGTGTATAATACAAAAAAGCTTATTAATTATGTTACCTTAGTTTTAGCGTCAATCTGAGCACCATTCTTGACAAGAATGGATGCGACGTTCACTTTATCTTCTTGTGCGCATAAATGTAGAGGCGTAAGGCCATTCTGTAAAGTGTAAAAATAAATATAACGTAAGATTTTATAAATAAAAGTTAATTGAAAATTACATCGTGTTCCTTTTTTATCTACCTTCGCTTTGTGATTTGTGTCTGCTTTATGCTCGATAAGAAGGGTTGACATATCAGTATGGCCTTCTTGTGCGCTCAAATGTAACGGTGTAAAACCCGCTTTTGATTCTGCATTAGCTTTCGCTCCGTATTCCAGCAAAGTAGTTGCAATATCCATCTATTGAAAGCAAAAGTAATTTTATTTGCTATCATTCTTAATAATTACCGTTGTGTGATCGTACCTGATTTTTGCGTGCAGCGATATGCAATGGTGTATGGCCATTCTTAGCCATAGCATGTGGTGAAGCTCCTTTATCGAGTAAAAGTAAAGCCACGTTTTGATGATCGTAATGAGAGGCTACATGAAGAGGCGTTACTCCGTTCTGCACAGACCGACAGATAAAATAATGTGGCATGATGCGTGCAAGTTAACTATTCTACAATTAATTTGATCTTTAAATGCTAAATTTAAAAAGTGCTTACCTTTCCTTGAGCGTCAACAGGCGCATTCTTTTGCAGTAACAATCGAGCTACGTTCATATTGCCGTACTTGGCCGCTAAATGCAAGGGAGTAAATCCTTTCTTGGTCGTTGCGGTAAGCGAGGCGTTATTTTCTAATAAAACGGATGCAACCTGTGTGATCATAGAAACACGTTATGGAAGAAATCTATCTCTTATGTTATATATGTAACATTTTATAATCTTACCTCCTCCTGGCCTTCTTTAGCAGCGATATGAAGCGGTGTATATAAATCCTTCGTTGTAGCATCTACGCCCGCACCATGCTGCAGCAGTAACATCACAATATCGACGTTACCCAGACGGGAAGCGACGTGAAGCGGTGTCTGTTCCTCCTACGAATAATTCGCATTTCTTTATATCTGCTTTATTGTATAACAAATCCATCTTTAGCGATAAAAGCTACTCATATTAATTATTATTAATCAAGCATGGTATTTACTCTTGCTCTAGCGTCGACTTGGGCGCCGTTTCTAAGAAGTATCCTAATAATATCAGTTTGGTTCGCCCTGGCCGCTAAGTGTAATGGCGTTTCGCCTCTTACTGTCGGTATATCAGGGCTAGCTTCGTGTTGTAGTAAGTAAATCACGATATTCATACATCCCATAAAACTCGCTACGTGTAGTGGAGTTAATCCAGACTGTAAAACAATATATATGACATTAGTCATTTTCCGCATATATTTACAATCATACAGTCTCGTAAACATTAGGAATATCTAAGTATGTAATGCAATAAGTAAAGCTAAGAGAAACGTGAGGAGAAGAATTTGAAAATGTTATACCTCAGTCGTAGCTTCGATGCTCGCTTTGTGCTTCAGGAGGAGTTCGACGACTTTTATACGATTCTTCTTGCATGCGATATGAAGAGGGGTAAATCCGTTGAGCGCTCGTGCATTAGGATCGGCATTTCTATCAAGAAGTAATTTAGCTACGCGTACGTGACCGCAGTGTGCAGCCACATGCAGCGCAGTCAAATAATCCACCGTCACTTCGTCCACGGGTGCACGGTGATACAATAAAATTCTCGCGGCGTCAACGTGATCCCCTTGAGAAGCCATGTGTAACGGGGCAAGACCATTCTGTCAACAAAAACCAAATGATAATTAATCTTGGCAAGAGGGAAACGTTTTGCATGCGGTCGATTCAGTTTGTACCTTCGTTTTTGAGCCAATGGGTGCTCCCTTCTCAATGAGAATATCAACTACTTCGTGGTGACCGGATCTGGCCGCGCAGTGCAGAGGAGTTAAACCATCTCTCGTTTTCGCTTCGATGTTTGCTCCCTTGCTCATGAGGAGATTAACCATTTTAATCTTACCCCATTTCGCAGCCACGTGCATTGGCGTGATATTGTGCTGAAATTGTAAAAAGAGTATATTTAGAGTATTTAGACCATTTCGATAATATTTTAATCCTTCTTCTTCTCTGTAAAAGTTATGTACCTTTGCAGCAAAGTTAACATCCGCGCCTTTGTCATAAAGCAAGGAAGCGATTCGGTCGTTGCCATAGTGTGCGGCTATGTGAAGTGGAGTGAAACCGCTTTTCGATGTTACATCGGGATTATGGTCGTTCTATAGAATGAGAGAAGAATTAAAGAGATTATACAAGGACTAATTTCTATCTATTACTATTATCGTCTAAAATACGAGTCGTGATTGACAAAGCGTTACGATAACTCACTTGTAAAAGTAGGGCAGCCGCTTTGCAGTCGTCTTTCTTAGCAGCGATGTGTAGGGCAGGCAGTCGAACTTTACCACGGGTGTCATTTTCTAATAGAACGGCCACTACCTTGTCGTGACCCTGTTGCATAGCCACCGCCAATGGAGTGAAACCGTCCTGTACGAAGAGAAACGTGCATATTTAATAATTGAAATAGATTATGAAACAATAATTTAATTAAAAATAAAATGGAGGTTTGTAAAAATAATAAATATATTTAAAAAGTTTGACAACGACGAGAACTCGTTGATAAACGATGGAACAGCATTTCACACAAACCTCTGTGGCCAATGTTTGATTCGCACCCTTACAGAGGAGGTACTTGACCACAGAGTCATGATTTTCCTGGGCAGCCATGTACAGCGGTGTGAACCCATTTTGCGATTGTGCATTCACAGAAGCACCTCGTTGTACTAGCACTTGTACCACCTCCTCTTGTCCAGCTGAAAGAAAATATCAGTGTCACGCGAATTATTCGTTTCGCAAAAATCGATCTCGCACTTTGCAATGCGAGATCGCAAGCCACAAGAGAAATAAATGTTTATTTAAAAGCATTCGCGTCCTTGTCCTGTATGCATTTAACAAGCGACGAGATCCATACGAGTAAAGATAGGATGAGAGAAAGAAAAAGAGACAGAAAGATGAAGACGTGTACACGCTTACCAAGAGAAGCTATGTGCAATGCCGTGTTTCCCTTTTTGGTAGCGGCGTCCACAATTGCGCCGCGATTTAGGAGTTCTCTCACGATTTCCAAGTGGCCGTCTTTAGCTGCCAGGTGCAAAGCGTTTAAGCCATTCTGCAATATATAAAATTCATACTCGTTAAGGAGTGATTCTTCTCAAGATCGAGAAAATACATGGTTGTGCGCTACTTCAAAATCCACGGGAAACGACAGATCAATTTACTTACGGCGTTAGAAGCGTTAATATCTACTCCAGATTCCAAGTATTCTAAAACTTTCTCGAGTTGCCCAGCACGAGCTGCCCGTAAAAATGCAGTACTAGGATCACTCTGAAAAAAGATAAAATATGCTATTTAAAATCTGAAGATAAATTATATATATTCAAATAAAATTTGGAAAACCTTCATGTTCCTTCATGCATTCGCATTTTTTTATCTGTTATATTTGTATTTTTTTTTCATTAAATCAAATAAATTTAAATACGTAAATATTGTTAAATAAATAAATTTAAATATTACAGCCACATACAAATATCGAAGCAAACATTGGATGCTCATTCAAGGTTCTCTTGTGCAACTTTCTTTTTTTCCTTTCGAGAGTTAGATCCGACTATTTTATTTTCTTTTTTATCTTGAATAGGACATAAAAGTATTATATTTCAAAACTCACTTATCGTAAAATTTTACGTTTTCGTTATATACGCATGTAAAAAAAAACTCAAATTTTTTTAAAACGATCCTATAAATGTTATACTTTTAATCAGAATCTGTATAGATTTTACACAATTCTTCAAGATTTTTTGGAAGAAAATTAAATTAAATTTTAATCAGATCCTAGAAATCTTTTTACGTAGTAAAGTTTTTGTGTCGTAAACGGCAGTGCTTAAGGGATTTGCAGCAAATCAAAGTTTATCGGGCTTATTCGGATATTCTTAGCATTTCTGCGATGCGACATAATTAGTTCATTTACAGGAATGCAAGGACACGTAGGTGTAGAATTCTACACGCAAATGTATTTCTAGGAATTAACGACGTGTAATCTGCTGCGAGAGAGAAGAGGAGGAAAATAGAGATTATCCCACGTACACATAACGTTAACGATGTAAGATATCTCATTATCAGCTAAAAATTTTTCCAAGAACATATACAGAAACATGCTTCAGAAACGTATTCAAAATTCAACAACAGAATTGCTGGAAAAGATCTAATTGTCAATTCAGATAATTAATTTCTAGAAATGCATGTGTTTGATACCTAAACAACTTTGTGTTTTCACAGAACAAAAAGATTTCAAATGATTATTACAATTGATACAACTATATAAGTGTTTCGTCATTAAATCGCAAATTTCTTTTAATGACTTTATAATATTTTTTTTATGTCTATTCTTCTTTACTCATGTATTCAACAACTTTAATATATGTAAAAAATCATTTGATCTTATATCTCGTTTCATGCATTTAAACATTTATTTTCGTCCCAGTTTCTTGTCAAACGTATTCAATACAATCGACATTAATTCCGGAAAGTAGATGAGTCACGTTGACCGGCTTATTTTGGATCGTACAATTCGCGGGTAATTAACTGTAGATCTAGAACGCGTGAGGCGCCGCGCAGTCTGTGACGAAAGCTGACAGAAATCCGACTATCTTTGTCTATTCCCACCCTTGAGTCGACCCCTTTTTCCTGTGTTCGAACCCTCGTATTCCGAGTGGATATGTACCAGATATCCCCTACCGCAACCTATATTCAACTGATTCTACAGGATATTGCAGAGCCACCGGATGTCTCTTTTAACCGCAACCTCTTTTCGACTACTTTTGTAGTCACCATTTACCATTTCAATTCTATCATACATATTTATATGTGGATAGTTACGATTCGAATTAAAATTCTACTTTGTCAATACGAGTTGAAATTGGCTGAAGAATATGATGTTGTCATTAATCTTTCCGCTTCTAAAGTTTACTTCGAAAGTCTCCTGTTTTTGCTTCTAATTATTGGAAGATTGTGGGCGCTTAAAAATGTTTGCGTTGAGAAAAGACTCCAAATCGACCAAAAAATTTACAATGAAAATAATGACGGTTTTAAAAACATCCTGTACGTTGAAATATATCTAATAGTCTGGGATGAAAGCCAAGTCAAGCCTGAGTCAATGGACAAGAAGCAATCGCACATTCGGCTTACATGGAAGACAATAAATATCAGGATTGTTACAATCTCCAAGTAGAATGTCGTGCAAATATCCTTGGGTGATATACAGAGACAGAAACTACGTCAATGTAACAAACGCAAATATTTGTAGCATGTAGTTACAAAAGCCTCACAATAGAAGCCATAAAATGCAGAGGACAAGAGTAATCCGTTGAAGTTTCAAAACAACATACAGCTTTCTAGTACATAGTCCAATCCTATTAATATTACCAAGGAATAATCCTGCATGTGTAAATATAATTTTCTCATGAAATAAATTGATAAACACTTTATTATAAGATTAAAAAAAGAAAATAGAGCTTTGAGCCAACATTAGACGGTTCTTAACTTGCGTTAGAATTCAAAATAGAATTTTATTTTTAATTTTATATATATCATATATATTTTTATATACATACAGATATATATTTCTGATATTTATTTTATATACGTATGCATTCTGATATTTCCAATGTTTTTCGTAATAAAGATTATCTGACTAAAAGAAAGGAAATTATAAATAGAACGTCTCCCGAGTTATGCAGACGAGTGGGCCTTTCCGTTTCGTGACCGTAATTAACTGCGGAAACATACAATATCTCGAGTATCAGATTGTTGGCGACCGTTATATAAAATATTGCGTGTAGAAACGACGCAAACTGGACAGCTTTGTGAGCGCGGTGGGAGTTGTAACGGTGAACCTACTGCAGCGTACCGCGACCGTAGGTGGTTTTGCCGAGACGCAAACGTTTTATCGTCATGCGCTCGAAGCACTCGCCTGACGATAAATCGATAGTTAGTTCTTCGCTGCTTTTACACTCGTACACGACTTGTCTCATCGCTTTTTGCTAATGTCGAGTGTCATTTACATGGGAAATAAAATATCTTTTTTTTTATCGTACATGGTTGATTGTTCGATGTAATTAGGAGATCTCGTTGTCTGAAATATCAACAATTATCCAATTGAAGTCCGTTTGACTTGTCAGTTTTCGTAACGAAATGTACGTAAAGATACAAAGATGCGATAATTTGGTGTTTTAAATATTTAAATGCTAGGAGGAGGAAACGGAGAAGAAAAGTGTAGTTTTATTTACTAAAAATATAAATTCGGAACAGTCTTATATTCTGTACTATATACTACGTGCTTTTTGCTGTAACAAAATTTCATAAAAGTTATGACATCGATATATTTATTTGAAATTTATAAGCGGTGGGCAAGGGACTTTCTGTCGTTAACACAACGTTGATCTAAGATTTTCAAGAGAACGAGGCGTAAAGGTAGTATCGAGTTACGCCCGTTTAATTCCAGAGTATCTCATTTCGCTTACTCTACAAGAGAGATTTATTTGTCAGGCTTTGATACGTATGCCAGGCAGAAATTAGAGAAGCAAATAAAGTTCGCGTCACAGCAGTCATTATCACATCTAATCGCGTCGTAAAATAAAACTTGCCCGTGGTAATATATTCTGGTAAATAAAACGAATGCTACGTTTTTATCTGCCAGACGCACAGCGCGAATCGATTGTCGTGATCTGGCGTGTCGTATCGACTTGCTGGCGCGATATTTTTCTGAATGGTCAACAGACGGGATATCTCTCGTAAATAAATCCTTCGTTGTATTCATACACCACAAAACGCACGAGACATATACTTGATACACGCTGAGAGAATGTTGAATGAATAAATGTGCAATACCGTGTAACACCTCGTACGCTTAAATTAAAAAATTTTTTTAATTAAGATTACAGAGAACGAGAAAATTAAAAAATGAGAACAACAGTTTCTTTGAGGTTTACGTATTAAGTTGTACTTAATAACAAATAACGTGACTTAGAAAGAAGTATAAAAAATAGAATATTCAATTTTTCACAGTCTGCTTTTGTAACGAAACATTGCGTCACTACTCGAAATATTTATGTTAAACGTATCTCATCAGCAATACTAATTTCTTTATCGCCTATCTAACAAAAAAAACTATGTAATATTTATATACATATATATAGGACGACTCAATAATATCTATGTGCGCAATACAAGATAACGAACTTGTGACAATCTTATATATAATGGAGAAAGCCCAGCTATATTTGATCCTCGTTGGTACGCAGAAGCTGACGAATGTGTTCACTGGGTGCACGCCGGTGTTACGTATGCAAGGGAATCTGCTTCACGCAGACTGCACAAGTACGTCTTAAATAATTCAGCAGGCCGTTAGTTTCTCATGTAAAAGATATCTCCTTCCGCGTCCACTTCTCCTCACTCTTTCTGTGATCTCTCACTTTCTTTTAAAACAGGGAAGAGCTTCCAACTGTGTCAGTTCCATTGACGTAGGAAAATAAGGAAACGCCATAGAAGAAAAGTTACATAAAAGAGACGAAATCAGTTACAGCAAAACTGTATCTGCACTTGAACTAGGTGCAATTAAGCGTTGCTGCCATAATCAATTATTTGATATTACAAGTTTTATCGATAATTCTTGAATGAATGTATTCATAGAAGTAGATGAATTTATCGTCAATTAAATAATATATTTTACTGTCGCAGTAAAACAATCTGTTATTGTATAAGCAAAATAATTTGTAAATTCAGCAAGTCATTTGCAGCAAACAAAATTTTGTTAATAAATTTAATGGAAATGTCATGATTAAAAAATTATTTAATTAGCACAGTCGAGAAAAAGGTCAATCGTAAAAAAAAATTTCTTAAACTTTTACTTTCTATTAAATGTACATGAGCAACCGTAAAAAGGGTAGCTTCCATTTATAGTGCGTGTAACGCGAATCGACACACTTTTCTTTAAAAGGTATAAATTAAAAAGAAACCTGTATTCGTGCACACAGCGTTCATCGACTCTTAGAAATCGAAAGCAGTCTATGATGAAACGTTTCGTAAGTTTCCTTATTGTTTCCATAAATTTTTAATGTTTGGTTAGTAACTATTTACGGATAAACGTTTGACAAAGTATATTGATCGAAACTTCTCTCATATATGTGTATGAACAAACAGTTAAGGAATTTCTTCGCTGTTCCTTCTAATTCGAGACGCATGAATACACTTGGAAGTTGTTGCGTGCCTCAAGTGCTCTAAAGACGTCAATTGTACGTCAATTACGTAACATGAGTGATAACTTCATTATA